ATTTGACGGTACACTCACACAAAAATAATAAAATAAAAAATTTTTTAAAAATGATTTAAAGTGTATTTAATCTCACAAATGTATTGTTTTTAATGAAAAACCTTTAGCTAAAATGTTACCAGTATTTTATTTTTTTGTGTGTGTGTGTTTGAACATGTGTTTATTTACATGAAAGGCCTTACACAAACCAGTATTTTTTTAAATTAGTAATAAAAAGCCTGAACTGTTTAGTTGAATAGGAAATTTTGTGCATTGTGATTAACTCAGTTTTTGAAAATTGTTATTAAGTAGCTTTTCACACCAGTGTAAAAGTAGAATGATATCATGAATCCCTTACTTACTTACTTGTACTTGAGTATAATTGTGTGTTGTTGAGTCAGAACCAGATCATATCTGAACCTCCAGCAGGTTTTCAGAGGCAGTGAATGACACAAGAGATTGCCTGTATTTCTCCTGCAGAGCAGACCGTGTATCTTTGGGTTGACAGCTCAACTCCTTACTTTTAAACCAGTAGAGCTCCCTATAGACCAGAAATTAATAGGTATCAGTATTTTGTTAGTCTTTCACACATGAACACACACAAACTTTTTTTCCTAGTGAATTTTAAAATAAATCAGTCAATATTTCATCAGTAAAGGTTCAAGTATACATTTCTTACAAGGCAGATGTCTTTCTCTCTCAATGACCTTCCCCTTCCCAGTCCTTATGTTCATGCTTCCTATATAACATAAGATGCTTATTAAACCTGACAAAATTAACAAGAATTTGTTAATAATATCTTATCCAGTCAATGACTGACTTATTTCTACTCGTTAATTATAATTCAGGAAACTTAGAAGCCTCTTCCCCTCCCCTTCTACTAAGTAAGTGGTAGAGTAGTCTGTTGAGATTTTAGCTGCTAACCAAAAGGTGGTCTCGCTGGTGGTTCAGATCCACCCACCATTCTGAAGGAGAAAGATGGGTGATATGATTCACAGCCTCTGAAAACCCACAGGAGGCTCGGCTGTGAATCAGTTCAGACTCGACTGTACATAACAACAGTGCACCTTGTTACTGTTGTGAAAAAGTGAAGAAAGAAAACATGGGGTCTTTATGTATTATTTCTTACAACAAAATACTGTGTTGCATCTGAAATTTAAATACTAATTTTTTTTTAATTCTTTTTTAGGAATCTGGTGGACCGTAACAAACTTCGGTGAAATTTCAGGAACCATAGCCATTGAAATGGATAAAGGAACCTATATTCATGCACTTGACAATGGTCTTTTTACACTGGGAGCGCCACATAAAGAAGGTTTGTCTGGCAGAAGCCAGAGAATTGGGGAAAAGTATTTAAAGTATATATTTTTATGTCACTCATTTTAAATAAATTTTAATTAGTTTCAAGTATGTTCCAAAGGAATAGAGCCATCATATTTGATTCATCCACTATGTTTTCTCAGTACTTAACCACCTATTCCTTCTTTTCTATCCAAGCATCCCAGAACATTGTGTATATTTCCATGAAAGATAACATAAAAATTAATGTGGAAAGGGTAGAAGAAAATCTGGTTAATAAGAGATTTTAGTTTCTTCATTCTTCAGATCATTTGAAAAACTAATTACGCTGGGATATGGTTAATAAAAGCTTGAAGTTCTGTCTTCCCCTTTAGCGCATCAGAAAACACACTAATGGCATGTGAAGTAATTGAAAGACAAAAATGCAGTATTTTGGGGTCAGAATGGTCATAACTTCAAAAATTTAAAGCACTTGGTTTTTAAAATTTTAAATCCTTATTTATATATACATTGTGATTTAAAACAAAGAAATCTTGGAAGTGACTACATAAGCACCTTGTCAACCTATCTTCTTAAGTGTGTGAAAATTAATTGTAGTTTTAAGATAATAGTGTAAACACTTTATTAGTGTGTTGATCACTCTATAGTGATATGGAAATATTCTTACATTTAAACTGACAACAGCCAATTTTTAACTAGTAAGGATTGGATTAATCTTCGTCTTGGAGAAAGCACACAATTTAAAGGGTCAAGATTATTTTTGCCCTTAATATATCTTGATGTTTACTTCAGACTATTTTGTAACTTTTATGTTGTCTTCATTTTAAAAGAGAAATTACATCTGTTTTGGTTGGTTTGGGGTTTTTTTTAACTGAAGACTATCTTATATGCAATGTCGAATTTATTGTGACATGATTTTCTTTTTTTTTTTTTTTTCTTTCTTTTGTAGTTGATGAAGGCCCTAGCCCTCCAGAGCAGTTTACAGCTGTCAAACTGTCTGATTCCAGGTAAGCTTGAGTTGAACAATACTAACAGAATTTTCTCTGGGCATGTTTAATTCATATATTAAATACCCAGTATCTGAGCTAGTTTTTATTTGAAAAGCAAATAGTAATTTGAAAATGGATTTTTGTGGCATTCCAAAACTACATTATTTGTATACCTAGTAATTATGTTTTTTACTCTGGGAGTTTGGCTGCTAGCTAGCACCTTGATGGCCGTCCTGTTGGTCACATAAGGGAAGTTTTTGGGGTCCTGTTTGATGTGTATTACTGCTCTTGGAGGTCTGCTCAAAGGTGTGACTGTAAAACTCCGCAAGGGGAGGAGATGGGACTGCAGGCTGGGGCCTGGAGCCTCCACTCTGGGAGGTTGGCTGCTAGCTAGCATCTTGATGGCAGTCCTGTCGGTCACATAAGGGAGGTTCTTAGGGTCCTATTTGCTTTCAAACCCCACAGATTTATTAATTTTCAAATGAATATTCCTTAAATGATACAGCAATCTTTTGTCTATTTGCTGAACAGAATAACTTGGTGTTATTGTGGTGCTGCACACTGTTCCGTAGTCTTGTCAAATACCATAATGGTTACCTATTATGTACAGTGTTTGGATGAACTTCCAGAATGATTTGTGCTGGGAAGCAGGAGTGGCATCCACTTCCTAAACTAGATACCTCTCTAAACTCTACAAACTAAATTCTATAAATGTACAGAATTGATGTTAGTTAAAAAACAGTTCTGTACAGAAATTATGTTAGTTATAGAACAGAGTCCAGGTCTTTTGTGCAAAGCTTATTCTCAGTCACATTCGACTTTACAACACTTAACCACTGCTAAATGAGACTACTGCTGTTATATCTGGAGGAACACACTTCCACTTTTCACATCACTCTTTGTCAATGTGCAGTATGAAGTAACCTGGGTTTGCTGTGATGCTGAACCTTAAATCATTGGAGTATCAAATATCAGAATGATTTCCCAGTGTGGACAGTGTTTGGTAGAGCTCCCAGTTGTAAAACAGGTTTCAAAGCAGGAGTGGCATCCACTTCCTAAACCACGTGCCTCTGGAAACTCTATGAACTTGGAGAAACAATGATAGCTATGGAAGGGCATTAGGTCTTTTCCTAGAGTCGCTATGAGTCGACCTTGACTCGACAGCAATCAACAACATCAGTAATTATTTAGATATTGTTAAATTAGCTTGGAAGTAATTTTGTCTTCAGAATAGAATTAAAGCTCCCTTATAAAACATACATTACTACCTTTGATAATATTGATATACATTAGATAATGTGAAATAGCTTGTTAAAAATTAACCTGTCTGGTTTTTATTTATTTTATAAAATTATGTTAACGCTTAAGGACTTTGGATAAGGAAACAGTCAGTAAACAATAGGGGGAGGGCAGACAGCATGGTTAAAGACACAAGGAAGTATACATAGTAAAAGGCAACAAAGATAAATGCTGTTGTGTACACAATCCTGCGATAATAATCGTAGTATCTGAGTGGATACATAGGAAGACATGTAAGCTGAGCAGATACGTGAAGGTGAATGAGCGTACACGCACAGTATATATAGGCTTTGCATATGATGTTTATATTGCATACATGTTGTTAGGGGCATTGAGTCAATTATGACTTATTGGGACCCCATGGACCACATGTTGAAATGCGTCCCTGTCCTGCATCATCCTCTCAGTCTCTACCATACTCAAGCCCATTGTTGTCGTCACTCTCTCAGTCCATTTTATTGAAGGTTCTGTTTCTTTCCCTAAATCTCTATTTTTCCAAGTAATATACACGTGTATATATGTCTGTGTGCTGTAGTTGTAACCAAAGATACAGTGGAAAATACAGTGGACAGATTACTGAAACCTTAATAGTCATAACCAGACACCTTTAGGGAATGAATCTTAGGACCAGAGTCTGGGGAGTTTGAAATCAATTGGTATAACATAGTTTGCCTTGAGAATGTCCTAAACTCTACTTAGGGAAAGAGTAAATGGATCTTAAAAGCTTCTGTACATCCACCTAAGATGGAACGACCAGTCTCTTCACCCAGAAGAAACATGGATGAATAGAAATGAGAGCCCTAGGAAAGACACGGGAAGAGTGCTGTTACATGGGGTTACAGCCAGTGAAATAGAATGTACAGAAATTGTTGCATGGAAAACTAATTTACTCTGAACTTCCACCCAAATTACAAGAAAAAAATTTTATAATACAGTGTCTAATATTTTTATATTCCACTTCTCCTTAACATTTATCTGTTTATGAATTTGAAGGATTGCCCTGAAATCTGGCTATGGAAAATATCTTGGTATAAATTCAGATGGACTTGTTGTTGGACGCTCAGATGCAATTGGGCCAAGAGAACAATGGGAGCCAGTCTTTCAAGATGTAAGTAGTAGCAGTATTAATAAAAGCTTTTTTTCACCAGAATAGAAAGTCTTTAAAAATCATAAAGGATGGATTTGTAAAAAGAAAATTAAGAGTATCATGATATATAGTAAATCATATTGGGGAGGGAAATCATATGAACACATAACATTAAAAAAGTCATTTAACAGAAGTAGTACTTTTATCTCCTTCATTGATATATATTTGAACTGTCTAGGCTTGAATCTTTCTTAATTTTCATTATAGAACTAGACTCCTGAGACACTCGCCCACCCCCCCCATGCTGCTCACCCAAGTAGAATGTAGAACATTGCTTTATAAACTATGTTATGCCTTCAAGCCCAGTAACTCCATCCTACAAGGTATTTGATTATGTCTAAGATATTTCCGTGACTATGCCTGTTGGTTGGGAGCTCCACTGTCTGTTTTAAATACACATGCAGCACCTACAATTACGTGTGTAGAAATACAACTAAAGCTATATCTGAATGTGGGCATGTTCTCTTATGCCCTCCCACATCCCATTACCATAGCTTTCTACCTATTTGTCTGTTAGTAAATTATTGTTAATATTATCATCTCGGGATTGTCTGTTGTTGAGTAAATAGTATACATACTATTACTTGTAATTTTTGTTATCTCTTTGAAGGAAACTCATAAATGGAACTAAATCAGTTATATTCTCATAATATCTTGTTATGAATTGCATTGTATTCTCAAAAATTACATTATTATTATTATTAATCCTAACTTCTATGCCTGTGGTTATAATCCAGTGTGGAAATGGGTCATCTTTGTTATGTTAGTAAGGCATTATTAGCACAGCATGTATCTTGTATCATTTAATCTCTTTTGAGATACAAGAGATTAAATGAACTAAGAAAAGAAGCCCAGAAAAGGGAAGAGAGATGCCAAGCCATATGAAGGTGCCAGGAGTAGAAGTTCAGAGAGACAAGAATCTTCCTCCAGAGCTGACAGCAAGAGAACATCTTACCCTTAAGCAGTACATCTTGAATTTGGACTTTCTAGACTCCTAAACTTTGGTATTTTCAGTTAATTTCTATGAATTTGAAAGCTGGACAATGACTACAGAAGACAGAAGAGTTGGTGCCACTGAATTACAGTGTTGGAGAAGCGTATCCCATGGAGTGCCAAAAGAATAGCTGTGTCTTGGTGGAGTACAACCAGGGTACTCCTTAGAGGCTAGGCTGGTGAAACTGCCTCTCATCTACTTTGGGCATGTTGTCAGGCGGGACTAGTCATTGGAAGAAGACATCAAGTTGGGAAAGATGAAGGGCCAGAAAAAGAGAAAGACCCTCAAGGAGTTTGCTTGGCACAGTGATTAAAAATGCGCTCGAGCATGACCTCAAGATCTTGAGGTTGGACTAAGATAGAACTAGCTTCCAGTCTTTTGTTCATAGGATCCGTGTGAGTTGTAATCACCAAATGACACCAAACAACAAACCATGAGAAAATAAGTTTTTGTTTGCTAAAGCCATCCACTTGTGCTATTTCTGTTTTCTGCTTTAGCAGCACTAGGTAAAACAGGCCAAAGGAAACATATTTCATACAGTTAGAATTGACTCTCAATTTGCTGTTGTTATGTGCCGTCAAGTCGTTTGCGACTCATAGCGACCCTATGTACAACAACCCTAAACTCTGCTCTGTCCTGTGCCAATCGCACTGTCTCTGACACTCCCATCCTGATTGTCCCAGTCACGGAATCAATCCATCTCATAGAGGGTCTTCCTCTCCTGCGCTGTCCCTCCCCCCTACCAAGCATGATGTCCCTCTCCAAGGACCTGTCTCTCCTTACAACATGTCCAAAGTATGTCAGACGAAGCCCCAGAATCCTTGCCTCCAAGGAGCACCCTGGTTTAATCCTCTCTACGATGAATCTGTTTGTTTTTCTGGCAGTCCATGGTACTCTGAATACTCTTCTCCAGCACCACAGCTCAAAGGCATCAATTCTCTTTCTGTCTTCCTTGGTCATTGTCCAACTCTCTGATGCTCTCAAGTACTTATTATATTTATTTTTGTGCAGTAATGTTACAGATCATTTCTCTTTTCTACATAGTTTTTTTATATTGCCCTCTAAATTTTTTTTTAAAAATGATTTAGAATCAGAAAGAGATAAGAGAGAACCCGTTTGTCTGAAGATTGCACTTGTGGCCTAGTCCCATAGGGAGTTGTACTGGCAACCCAAAGGCAGCAATCTCTTCGAATCTCCCGGCAAACTCTGCAGCTGAAGGATGGGCAGCAGTCTCCACCCACCCCAACCCCCTTATGATTGACAGCCTCTGAAAGCACACTGGAGGGTCTCCTATGAGTTGGTCCCAGCCCAATGGCAATGAGTTCAAAGTTGAGTTAATTTAGTCTGAAGATTTAGATATTCTTCTGCAGTTATTCTCAAAGGTGTGTTTTGTTGTTGTATTTTATTTAGGGGAAAATGGCTTCTCAAAGGTGTGTTTTGTTGTTGTATTTTATTTAGGGGAAAATGGCTTTATTGGCCTCAAATAGCTGCTTTATTAGATGCAATGAAGCAGGTGATATAGAAGCAAAGAATAAAACAGCAGGAGAAGAAGAAATGATAAAGGTAATTATTACATTCTTTTGTAAATTACTTATGCCATACTGTAATTTTTGCAGGAAATGTTCTAGCAAGGTAAATATTTCATTATTTTTTTAATGCAACATATTTTTTACAGCATATTCTTTCCATTTAGTTTTTCCCCATTCATTCATTGTTGCATATTTTCCTCCCTGCTCACCCCTCCCCACAGTTTGTTTTTCTCTTTGAAAAGAAAAAAGTTCTTTCATTCTTATACAATCCCCCCTCCAAGTCCACAGTTCACTTTACTATGCATTTTTTTCTGTAATCTTGTCATGAAAATAATACCTAATCCTATATTCCTTTTAAACAATTCTCCTCCTCATCTGTTTAAATGCAGTATATATCACTTATCCCCTCTTTTCTTAGGTTCCCCCAAACACCGGTGTCAGTCCCATTTTACAACAGTGGCACTATGCAGTATTTGTCCTTTTGTGACTGAGATATTTCAGTCAGCACAATGTCCTCCATTTTTCTTCTAAAAGGTATTTGTAGTGAATAAATCATTGACTGTACAAAATTCTGTCATTTAATCTCCAGCTTCATCTAATGTCATCAAATCTATATTTTCTGACTACTCATCTTGCTCTCCCTGTTCCCAACTTTTGCATTCCAGTCACCCGTTATTACTGATGCATCTTAGTTGCATGTTCAGTCAGTTTCCAACTGCAAAAGCTGGTAGTAGAAATCATGTATTCCGTCCTCTTTGGCTCTGGTTGTTGGTGCGTATGTTTGAATGATAGTGGCATTAATAGGTATTCCTTGTATACATATGGATAAGTATCCTATCACAGCATTGTATTTCAAGATGGATCTAAAAATGATCTTTTAACTGTGAATGCGACTCCATTTTTTCTTACGTTTTTCAGTATAGTAGATCATGTGATTGATGCAGTATGTCCCATGTCAATCCAGCTCATTTTGCCAATTCATAGTCTGTCAATATTTATCTGTTCCATTTCTTCCTTAACATTATTCAGTTTTCCTGTATTCATGCTTCGCACATTCCATGTTCTAATCCGTAGTGTCTGCTTATAACTGTTTCTCCTCCTTTGTGTTTCCCAACAGGAGGGTTCAGCCTCCAGTGGCATATCTGATTGTGTAATTAATCTAAGTGTGATCTGTTGTACTCAGGGGTTTTGTACTCTAAAATACTCAGATGTATTTTAGATTGCTCTGTTCCGTAGTCAGCACTCTTGGAATCAACAGTCAAGAATTCAAAAGATGAATTGTAATTAGGAAACTCTACTGTCAGAGACCTCTCCAGAGAACTGAAGAGCAAGGATGTCAGCCTAGAGACTAAGGTATACCTAATCCACATCATGGTCTTTGCAGTTAGTTACTATGTATTGGAGACCTGGACAGTGACTGAGGATAACAGAAAAATAATTGATGCTTTCAAGATGTGGTGCTGGAGAAGAGTACTGAACATAACAGTGGACTGCCAGAAGAACAAATACATCTCTCTTGGAGAGAATAAAACCCAGTTTTCCTTGAAGGCAAGAATTTTGAAGCTCTTTCTCACATAGTTTGGCCATGTTTCCAGAAGAGACTGATCCTTGGAGAAGGACATCGTGCTTGGAAGAGTAGAGGGACAGCACAGGAAAGAAAGACCCCACATGAGATAGATTGACATAGTAACTAGGGTAATGATGATAGGCGTGTCAGACACAGAGTGATAGGCTTAGGATAGGGCAGGGTTCAGTGAGTCGCAGATGATGGCATATAACAAGAACAACAATGCTCCAGCATAAATAACATTACATGCAGAAATTGTTAAATAGTTCTGGGTCCTTGCTTCCATCACACATGTCTCATAACATTTTCAGAAGTGAATTTCAGCCTTATTCACCTATCCTCCAATACTACAGGTTAATTATGCCATCTTGTTCATTTTCTTCTGTTTCTTTTTCTTCTTTTTTTAAATGTAAAAGCATCTGAAAATGTTACTTTGGAGCATAACTATATATTAACAGTTTAAACCATAGTTGAGAAGTTATGGATCAAGTTTAGTAGTTCTCTGCTAATGACTAAAGAAACAAAACTATGTTTTTGTTTCCGTTAAATTATTCAGTTGGTAATTATAGAACATTAGCTCAAGAGTTCAGTACAAAAACTTTATCAGCTCATCTTAAGTGAAACCATTGTTGATACTGTTGCTTACCATAGAGGAGGAATCAAACCATAGATGACCCTTCAGCAGGTTTTGAGAAGCAGTTAATCTTAAGGGAAGAGATTGGCCATCCTTCTCCCTCAGAGAACCTGCTGGAATGCAGTGCAGCTTCTTACTACTAGGCCACCAAAGACAATATAAAGTTTGTTTATTTCATAGTTTAATTATGTTTTCTTTGTGTTAAGTGTCAGAGCACTTGTCATAATCTCCTCTTCACTAGCATAGGGCTATGTAAAAAGATTTTTCCTGCTTGCACACCTCACATTTTTGATGAGAAGTTGAAATTGAAGTCAGTAAAAATTTTGAATAGTAAGCTTAACTAAAATAACTTAGAGAAGATGCCTTAGGTTGAGTTCTCTAGAGAAGCAAAACCAGTGAAGCTTTTATGCATGTCTGTCTGTGTTTGTACACATATATGTACATGCATGTATGTATTCATATATAAGAGTGCTACTGTAAAGGCATTTGACTATATGGATAGCAGAAAACTATGGCTAACAATGAAAAGAATGGGAATCCCAGAACACTAAATTGTGCTCATACAAAGCCTAGACCTAGAGCAAGAAGCTGTTGTCCAAACAGAGCAAAGGAACAGTGCCAGAAAAGGTGTATGTCAGGGTTGTATTCTTTCTCCATACCTATTCAATCTCTATGCTGAGCAAATAATTTGAGAACCTGGACTCTATGAAGAAGAAAGTGACATCAGGACCTGAGGAAGACTCAGCAACCTGTGTTATGCAGATGACACAACCTTGTTTGCAGAAAATAAGGAAGACTTGAAACACTTGCTGCAGAAGATCAAAGATTTCAGCCTTGATTGTGAATTGCTTTTCAACATAACAAAGATAAAAATCCCCACCACCAGACCAGTAAGCAATATCATGATAGATGGAGAATAGATTGAAATTTTCAATGATTTCATGCTACTTGGATTCACAATCAACACCCTTGCCAGCCTTCAGGAGGGAGATTGGGAGATGTATTGCATTAGAGAGTTCCCTGTCAGGGACCTGAGGAGCAGTGATGTTAATTTGAAGATTGAGGTGCTCCCGATTCATGCCATGGTCTTTTCATTCACTCGCTTTACTTCTGAAAACTAGACCATGAATAAGGATGATAAAAGAGAAATTTATGCCTTTTGAGTTATGTTGTTGAAGAAGAATACTGAATATCCAACGGGTTGCCAAAGAACAAATACATATAGTTTGGTAAAAGTACAGCCAGGATGCTCTTTGGAAGCAAGGATGACAAAGCTTCATCTCATACAGTTGTTTTTTAAAAAATAAATTTTTATTTTATATTGGTTTGCTTACAGAGTTCATATACACTGTGTTTTGAATACTTTGAACATGCTGCTTATTGTTGCTGTTGTTAGTGCCATTGAGTTGAGTACGACTCACTGCAAATCTGTAAACAAGAGATGCGAACCCTGTCCTATTTTGTGTCACCCTCATCAACTCTGATGTACCTGAGCACTTTGCAGCAGTTACTGTGTCGATTTATCTGGTTGAAGGGCTCTCTCTCTTTTGCCAACCCTCTTCACAAGCATGATGTCCCACTCCAAGGAATCTCTTCTAGCAACATTCCTGAAGCACATGAAGTACATGAGCAGAAGCTTCATCATATTTGCCTCCAAGGAGCACTCTGGCTGCATCTTTTCCAAGACTTGACTTTGTTTTTTTTGGCGGTCCATGGGGTATCCAGCACTCTTCTCCAACACTACAGCTCAAAAGCATCAATTCTTCTGTCATCCTTATTTAGTGTCCAGTTCTCAGATGCATAGCAAGTAACTAGAAAAATTTGTTAGGAGAGGCTATTCCTTGGAAAGGGAAATCATGCTTGGAAAAGCAGAGAGGGTCAGCAAAAGAGGGGAAAACCCTCAGTGATACAGATTAAGACAGTGACTGCAGCAATGAGCTCAAGTGTATCAGAGATGATAGGGATCACACAGGATAGGACAGGGTTCATACCTTTTGTTTCCAGTGTCACTGTCAGTTGTACTCAACTTTACAGCACCTAACAATAAGTGGCTTAGTGCATAGCATTTTTTACTACTAACCAAGTTTGATGGATTGAATACATCATCTGCCCACAAACGAAAGTCTCCTTGCTTCCATGGAATGTAGCTTTCTTAATCTGTCTTTGCCTTTTACTTCCAAAACAAAACAGAAAAATAAAAACCAAAAAATGTATAGCCTTAGAAACCTGATACAAGGTTGCTATGAGTCAAACTTAGTTCAGCTGTGCTGGATTTGGTTTATTTGTATACTTTTTAAGTACATGTTTATATATAAAAAGAGAGATTTATCTCCAGGAAATGACTCACGAAGTTGTTCATGGGTCAGACTGCAGATTTCTTCTGACTTATTTAACAGATGGGACTGGCAAATCCAAATTCAGTAAACATTATGACAGGTTGCTAGCTCAGGTCCCAATAACTGGCAGTCAGATGATGAGGAACCAAGTGCTTGAGCCAAATCAAACTAAGGGCAAGAGTACCTCTTTTGATATTTGATGCAAGTCACACTTCTTCAAAGCAATTCTCTTTCAGTTTACTTGCTGCTCACCACCTGTCATCGTGGGGGTGATTACATCATAGCATATCTCATCAAAGAGATAATTGCATCATAACTGCCAAACCAAGAATTACAGACAGCCAAGTTGACTCACAACTTTAACTATCACAAAGGGGATGTACAGTTGACCACACTATATGTATGTATCATATATATGTCTACATATATACACACATACACATATGAACTCATCTGCATATTGAAAACTAACTGCTAGAACCAACTTGATGTCAGTG